ACACACACATACATACACACACACATGTTACCTGACTCATGATGCCTTGGGGTTTTTAATGAGCTTAAAGCAAAAACACACAGGACAGCTCTGCTGCCATACAATTAAAGAGATATTCCACCACAAAACCTACATTTTCTCAGACATTCAGTCTGAAGCCAATGGTGACAAGTTGTGTTAGTGTTCCACCAGGATGAGGGGGAAAATATTTTTCAAGGATTTCATGGATTTTGGTAGAAGCATGAGGTTATGAATTAATAAATTCTTTTTAGGAGTGGAATTTCCCTTTACTTTCTAACTTAATACTGGAGTTTGACAGGGAACATCCTTTTTAAGAGGACACCGACTTGTCTGTAGATCAGCCAGCATGAACCACATGGACAGCCTCATCACAGTTTGCTGTCAGTCTCTTCTCAATATATCTACAGTTATATTTAATCCTGACAGTGTCAACTTTGATTCACATTGAAGCAGCTGTGGAGGAACTTGCAGTGTGTAGCTTATACTGTGTCTGACAGGGGTAAAGTGAGGTATTTGGGTTGAGTTTTTAACTCTGAACTAGCTTTAGCCTTAGCTTAGCCTATAAAGTACCTGGTGATGAACCAGTCTGAATGAAGCCACTTAAGTGCTGGCTGTTACACAACATCAAGTGTTTAGCTTTCTTGCATTAGTACTGATACTATGATGTAGGTAAAGCTACTGTAGAAGTCCTTCCTGCACTGATCCTGTGTTATTACACTGCAAAGTATAAGGCACTTCAACTTAAAACCATACAGTACATTTCGTGTGCTAAACAATAAAAAAAGTAATGGTCGTGAAATGTTTGTTTACATGTCAATATGATTTTGGGGCCATATACACACACACACACACACACACACACACACACACACACACACACACACACACACACAAAACTGGACTCCAGTATTATTTACTTGTTAACTAGTGAGAAAGTTTTAGTGTCACTTGTTAATGTGCCACAGAAAGGTCGCACTACACCAATGCTAACACGAGAGGTGGGTACCACTTTAAATGTGTGACAGAATTTAAAATTTGTTTATGCGTATTAGCAGTGATCAGCCACTGAACCTGAAGATTAATTCTCTGCATCACTGAAAATGTTTTCAATTAGAAACTCATTAAGGATTAAAGCTGCACAATTTTTTTTTTTTTTAAATAATGAAAAAGTGACAGTAAGGTGACTGGGGTTGCTCGTAGTGGTCAACCCACACAGAACTGTCACCCAAATGTACTGTTACCTTCAGCTTTTTAGCGTCTCTTATGTTGCGTTAATCGGAACCCAACAAGTGGTATACCCCGTACTTCACCCCATGCAACTTCCCAGGTTGACATACACCGTCCTGCTTTGTTTTTCCACTGTACATTATGTTGTCTTCTGGTGACCAGTTTTTATGTAGCTCTGATGCAGTTGAAAAAGGGCTGAAAAGAGGAGGGAGGGGCTGCTCCCCTCTCACACATGCGGTCACAGTTGATCAGAGGGAGAACAGTCATCATGGTCCTCTCGAACAGTTGTCTTACAGGGCCTGCCTGACCTGGGCCTGTCGTGACCTTCAAATCTTTTTCTTATCCTCTCCACTTGACATTTAGATACATTAAAGATGTCTGCCACCTCAGCAGGAGACTTGGTCTTCAGGGTCTTGATGATCAGCACTTTGGTCTGTGGTTGAATCTTTGGCATGCTGTCAGAGGTCAGGTTGCATTTCAAATGAAGGTTGGGTGTGCTAGGGTTCTTCTTATACACACCTGGGATTGTGTTAATTACAGTATTTGTCAAGGTGACGCTCTAATCTCTGATTGGTTGAATCCTTTAAAGATATGGCAAGACTTTTGTCCTTGCAGAAACAGATGTTATAATAATAATAATAATAATACTTTATTTGTATAGCGCTTTAGAACTCCAGAGAAGCCCAAACGCTTCACAGAAGCTCATATATTAGCAGTATAAAACCAGCTACATAAGCAATAAAACCGAGAACAAAATAAAAACGCTAATGGGAGACTTCCATATCAAAGTATAATGTAAGACAACAGACTAAAAGCCATCGACATGATGCCACTGGAGCCCGTTAGACACAGAAAGCCTGTCTAAAGAGATGAGTTTTTAGTTTTCACTTAAAAGACGATAGCTCAGTTATGGACCGTGTCTCCGGTGGTAAGGAGTTCCAGAGCCTAGGGCCATATACAGCAAATGAACGATCACCCCATTTTTTATATCTTGTCCACGGGACAACCAAGGACACGTGCTCTGAGGAGTGTAGAGCCCTAAGCAAAGTGCGAATGGACAACAGGTCAGACAGGTATGGTGGAGCGAGACTGTTAATAGCCTTAAATACAAATAATAGTACCTTGAAATCAAGTCTGAACTGTATATATATATAAAGAGAAGAGTAACAGGGCCAGAATCGAGCCTTGGGGGATGCCAGAAGAAAGCGGGGCTGTGGTGGAGGAATAGTCGTCAATAACGACAGAGAAGATCCTATTCGTCAGGAAAGAAGCAAACCAATTTAGGGCCGGGCCTCTCAGGCCAACGTTATGTTCCAGATTGGAGAGAAGAACTGCATGATCGACGGTATCAAACGCTGCCGATAGATCAAGGAGAACTAAAATAATGGGGC